GTAAATGACATCTCTGATTGGGCAAAGCAGACCATCCAATAGGAACTGGTGGGGAAAATTAGTAAACCCAATCAGTGGGGGTAAATTCATCAAAAATAAAGCGCAATAAAATTTTAATTAGAATTCGTACAAAAGTTACATTACCTGTAATTTTAAAAAACCTTTAAATCTCATGCTATATATATACATCTGAATACAAAGAAGGTACTCTTATAATAGTTAAGCAGCATAGTACTTGATTATATATCGATATAGAGTGGCATGCCCCGGGCACAATTAGAAGGGCATGCCTCAGCCCAAGGACAGGTTCTAAGTGGTCACGTGTCATCGATTTTATAACATAAAAATTTTAGAGTACGATTTAAGTAAAATGATTTCTTGTTCAAATATCGTAAAGTTTTCGAATGCTATTAAAATAAATTCAATAACTTCGTTGTCACGATCATTACAATTTCGTAACATGTCTCTCTTAAAGGATGAGAGTAACCCTATTAAAGTTGCAGAGAGAGTTGCACATTTCAAACAAGACGGTAAGAAATAGGATCGTGAATTATGTAATTTTGAAGGCAATCGATCGAAATTTAATTAATTCCTTCTAATTCAGCAATTATATTTGCTCAATATATTTTAATCATGTTATAAAATTTATTTTTACAATAAAGTATGGTCCATTTTCACACCATTGGCTACTCAACTCAAAGCAGTGAATTTAGGGCAAGGTTTTATGAAGTAAGTTTTAAATTTCTGATTTGACGTATTTTCGTGAAATTAAAACTCATTTATATGCATATATATGTATAAGTTTTCCTCCACCAGATTTTGTAAGAAAAGCTGCAATAAGTGCCATTAATACTAATGATTGCAATCAATATAGGTCAGTTTTTTGGAATTTGTCGTATTATATCATTTTGTGTTATTTATAATAGTATTGTGTCTTTTATTAGCCATCCAAAAGGTAGATTGCGCACGCGGGAAGCCTTGGCAAAGTCATATAGCCCTTTATTTAATCGAACGTTGGATCCAGAGACTGAAGTTATTACTTCTGCCGGTGCAAATGAAGGTTCATATTTGTTATATAGAGGGTTATCATTTATAAGGATGCTGAAATTTGGATGATCGTGAAATTAACATATCTGATTGGTTAAGATTAGGGTGATCAGTCAGTGGGATTTTTAGATTTCAAATTTCACATCGTCCTCAGCAATGATAGTTGCTAGAATTTTTATTTTTATCACCTCTGCTATTAGGATTATATGCTATTTTTGCGGGTTTTTTGGATGATGGAGATGAAGTTATATTGATTGAACCTTTTTTCGACCAATATATTGTAAGTGTAAAATTTCATAATATTCATTTGCTTCAATGAAATAATGTTCATGAATCTTGGAACTTAAGGCAAACATCACAATGAACGGTGGTGTTCCCGTGTACGTACCGTTACGACCACATGGAGATACAAACAAGATCATATCTTCTCGTGACTGGAAATTGGATATTAACGAATTAAGATCGAAAATTACTCCGAGAACTAAAATACTCGTGTTTAATACTCCTCATAACCCTGTGGGTAAAGTATTCTCTAGAGAAGAAATGCTAGAAATTGCACAAGTTGTACAAGAATTTAACTTATTACTAGTGAGTGATGAAGTAGTAAGTTATCAAATTTTGTAAAATTAACTCTTCTAAACAACAAATATTTTTGTTTGACTATAATTACTTACCTTCAAATTATTTGAAAGTACGACCGTCTTTATTATAAACCTGATGTCCATGAACGCATAGCGACTTTGCCAGGATTGTGGGATCGCACAATTACTGTTGGAAGTGGTGGCAAGACTTTTGGTACAACTGGATGGCGTGTCGGGTGGTCAATAGGACCTAAAAATTTAATAAAAACCGTACTCGCAGCGCAGACTAGAATTGTTTTCTGTGTCAATTCACCACTTCAAGTATTGTTTATTCATACAATCATCTTTGAGAGCTTTACATTGGTGTATCATTAATCTTTTCCAATGTATCCATCGAATAGGAGGCCATAGCAATATCAATTGAAGAAGCTGAGGTACATGGTTACTATGAAGAGAACATCGCATTATATGAACAAAGACGCGGCAAATTATGTAAAGCATTATCAGATGCAGGACTTCCATACACTATCCCTCAGGGTTCTTATTTTATTTTGGCTAACACAAAACGAATTAATATTCCGGTAATTGGAATTCTGTTTAACTTAGTTATAAATATTGTCAATAAGCAACTAATATCATTTAAATATGGCAGGAGGATTACGAGTATCCTGAAATCCTACTAGACCGGCCAAGAGATTTTAAAGTATGCTATTGGATGGCAAGGGAGATCGGTGTAGTAGCTATCCCGCCTAGTGAATTTTATAGCGAAGAGAATAGACACCTTGGAGAAGATTATGCACGATTTGCATTCTGTAAAACAGATGAAACACTAGAAGCAGCTGCAAAAGCTTTATTGAAATTGAAGAAATATATTAATGAATAAGATATGGTTAATAGTGAAAATAATATTTCTGTAAATTTGTATTTTTTTTTTTTTTTTTATACATATAGAATGTATTAAAAAAAAAATAATAATAAATCCATGGCACTCTATTCTGTACAATGATTTTGTGAAAGAACATTTTGTAGATAGATAACTTAAATGATTTACAACAATTAACCTAAAAATTTAAATATTCGAGAATTTGATTTGGTCTTGATCATATAAGTTAATATCCAAAATAATTATTCATTGAAAGATGTAGGGGACCTTTTGCCATTTTGCAAAGAAATATCACGTCGAGCTCTAACACCTTCTCGTAAAACGTCCAATGCTTTGACTGTAGCTTCCCAACTAATACACGCGTCCGTAATTGATTGACCATAAACAAGCCCCGATGGACCTTCCATCGGAAGATCTTGACGACCTGAATATTTCAAAAAAGAAAGTGTTTTTTATGTGACCAATTCAAAAAGTAAATTCAATAATAATTTTTAGAAATTCATACCTTCTTTTAAATGACTTTCTAGCATAATTCCCGTGATGTAATTTCCAGATTGCGACTTAAGTTGCTCCGCCTTAAAATAAAAAAAAAATGCAAAATTTCATAAAACTGAATAAATATAACGATTAATTATGACTAAATGAAATATACATACAATATCATTGATAACATCAATTTGCCGACTAAAAACTTTTTGGCTATTTCCATGACTACAATCAATCATAATACGAGGAGCTAATTTTGCGCCCTCTAATCTTTTTGCAGAATCTAGAACATGTTCGGCTGCATAATTTGGACCTTTAGCACCACCCCTCAGGATGATGTGGCAACAATCATTACCCTAAATAATATATTTTAAAATTATTTAGAGATATCTAATAATGCTGATAGTGAAATTCATAATAAAGCGCGGATATTCACTTCTGTAGCCACAATAGCACTCAAACCTTGTTTAGTGACAGAAAGGAAATGATGCTTGGTACTTGCTGATTTAATGGCATCAATAGCAATACCAATATTTCCATCGGTACCTACAAACATTGGAGAAAACGAAGCATTAAATTGGAACAACTATATGGAAAATTTAAGAAGATAAATTTACCATTCTTAAACCCAACAGGAACTGATAAACCTGAAGCTAGTTCACGGTGAACTTGCGATTCAGTTGTCCTGGCACCGATAGCACCTAACGGTGAAATGACACGTTACACATCTGATAAATAAATAATAAATAAGTAAATACGGAATAAAACAATACCCCAAGAAACTAAATCGGCAATGTACTGTGGAGTAATAGTATCAAGGAATTCACTGCCACATGGAACACCTAATTCATTCTATTACATAGAAAAGATTTGTCAGTCAAATTATAGAAATTTCAATTGCCACGTGAAATTATTGCGAGAAATAGCATACAATATCCATCAAGAGTTTACGTGAAATACGCAATCCTTTATTGATTTGGAAACTATTAATTCATAGAAGATATAATTGAAACATATGTTAAATATTTTCTCAACGTAAACCAATTCACCTTTAATAAAGATTACAGACCTGTTATTTAGAAAAGGATCATTAATCAATCCTTTCCAACCCACTGTCGTCCTTGGCTTTTCAAAATAAACACGCATTACTATCATAAGTTCGTTAGATGCTTCAGTGGCATAAGCTTTTAATTTTTCAGCTATGATTGAAATGTGATATACAAATTAAAATAAATTAAGTCTGAATCTAAGAGACGATCCGAAGGCAAAGATAACAATAAAAAGATAAAATACCATATTCAAGCGCGGCTCGGACGTCGTGGACAGAACAAGGGCCAACGATGACTAGTAATCTGTCATCCAAACCCTTTATTATTGCCTCTGCATTTGTACGGCCAACTATTACGGTTTGAGCTGCCTTCAAGGTCAAAGGCAAGTCCTCCATTAAAATTTGAGGCGGTATAAGGGGCTTAATTTGCTTAATACGTTTATCATCGAGTTCATTAAGAGCTAGAAAGGACAGAAAGGAAAGAGAAGACTCAACAAACTATATAAAATTTGAATGTATTCAAAAAAAAATTTATCTATACCATTACCATCACGAACAATCATCTTATTTGACATTTTTTTTTTTTTTTAGTAGATCAAATTTTGTTTGACGAAAAATTACCGTTTATTTATATGTGCAAAATGTGGTAACAATATTTATGTGACTTACAATGACTCATCAGGCTCGGCTACTAAACAGTTCGAAGCCATTAACTATACAGTAATTATAAATAAGTAATAGGACTGTTGACTATGAATAGCTCTTTGAATCGTACCCGGATAATATTAATGACATCTTTAGAATAATGTAATATATATAGTTATAAATATGAACTTTTGACATTTATAAGTTCTAATTCAAAATTCAAAATGAATGCGAGATGCTGTATGCTCAATGAAATATGCATATTTAGAAATTTTAACTTGTGTAATAATTGACAATGGATCACTTATTTTTCTAAAAAATTTTTAGAGAAAAATATACATATATACATATATAGTACTTTGACTATATTGTAATCATTGAATCAAATTAAGTACTGTATCAGATATAATCTAATAAATACCTAATAAATACGTGTTCGATTTTTAATTATCACTATCGTTATCGTTATCTGGAAACAATTAGATGCTGAAATTTAATACCTCTAATTGAGCATGACAGAAGTTCTACCTTATTGGTTACAGATATGCAAATCGCCGATCTTAGTTGTTAGATTATGATTGGCCAG